GGCTACTCGCGCGTTCTGTATCCAGTTACTCACTTTATTTGGCTACTCGCGCGCTCTTTATCTCCTTGCGCGTCCTTTATCTAATCGCGCGCCTCAGTCCCCCCTCTTTGCTATTGCAAAGCAAATATGTGTGAATCCAGATTCGTGTGATTTTGTTGGAAAATTACAAATACAAAAACAGCAAGGCATTAAGAATATCAAACATACAGAAAACTCGACGAATCAGACATCTCTTTTATTGTCGAGTGCTTATCGACAGAATTAGAGAAACTAAAAAGTTTCTAAGCTCAATATCTAACGCCAAACGTTTACTTTCTAGCTACTTTTATTTTAGCAACTGATGAACGTTATGTTTAGTACTAATTCGATACTAGTAACTGTGTTGCTAAGCAACTTCGTCACTTAGATTATTTGATTAATTTACACAATGGCAATTTTGAAAGTTTCATTAACAGCTCTTATCAGTCTCACACCACACGGAACCGTGCCAGCGAAGGAGTCACGTCAACATGAAAAGAACGGGCCTGACATTTATTTTTACGATAACTACATACCATTAAAAATACATGCATAAGTGGAAAAGAAAAATACTTTGTATCGCTTTAAACCAGAAATCCACCATACAGGATTCGTAAAGATTTTTGGATCCAAAATTCAAGGCTTTTTTCGGTTTTTTTCTTCCAAAACAATAATTTATTTTTCCAGACTCAAGGTTATCAAATAGGTGTTCAATAAAGACCTTAAAAAAGGCAGGAACAAAGCTTTTTTCAGGATGCACCGCAAACATACGGTCAAGATTGAGTAAGATTTGACCAAAACGAAAACAATTCCACTTAGCAAGCACTCGATGTAGTATAGCTTTGAAGAAAAAAAAAACTTAAGAGCCAATGTCTGTAATTTTCGAGAATCGGTTGACAGTCGTGAATTTTTGAATTTCTTCAGATTTTGCTCAAATAATCTCTATAGTACCCTAATTTCAAAAATCACGTTAAAACTTGTATCAGCTTTTTATTTTTTCAGGAATCAGGCACAGTTTGAAAAACTCTAAATCGGCGTTCTTTCGAGTATGAAATTAGCGAAAATGGAGCATTTTCTTCGCGCTCGTAGATAAAAACGGAATAATATCTCTAGATGAAATCAAGTCACAAAACAGACACATATTTTTACTTTATAATTCAGCAGTTAACTTTAAATAAACCGTTTAAATGTGACTGTACCGGCCCCAAGAAGAAACACGGTTTCAGCACTTTTCAAAAATGGCAAATTTGACCTAACTTCACCATCGTAAAAACCCGGTTGGTACACGGAATTTTAATATGAAACAAGAACTGTATTAAAGCATATCCTTTGCTGTTGTTTGTGTTAAAATGTTTCTGGCGGCATTCCAAATGCGCACCGTGGAGAGACCAAAACCTGAAGGGTATTTTGACACCAGGAAAGCGCGTGCAACAAGCAAGTTTCAACGCTTGGAATATTAATCCTTCGCAAACCTAAGTTACTACGACATTTAAATCCTAGTTAGAGTTGTAACGGTTTCAGATTATATTTCGGCGTTTCTGTTTGGTTTAACATGATTCCTTTCAACTGATTTTTGCGATAAACCATAATGAAGAGACGAATACGCAGTTCAAATCACAGTTAGTAGAGGAGAATATTGTCGAAATACTCGCTTGCTATAGTTTTAATCGTATTGAAACCTTAATAACAGAAAAGTTATTAACTTACCTGAATTTAAATGCTAGACGGGGTCACAGTACGGCTAACTAAATTCTGCATCACGGCAGAATCGAAGTTAAGTTTGTATATGTTTTCAATCTGTCAACACGAGAGAAGATGACATTCCGGAAGTGCGTGCGCGAAACGCGCCGGAAAAGAAATTCCTGGTATAAGTGTTTTACGGTGCAAGTCTTTGTTGTATCTTCGTATAGAATCGCGCACATATTCAAACTTGGTTTGTGGCGCCTGTGGCCCCAGTAATGCTGAATGTATTGCGATCATAGAAAAGATGTCGTGAGTCACTTGGTATGCTCCTGACTTGTTAATCACGTGAGTATGTAGGGCAATAACCAAACATCGACCCGACCATGCTAATGATAAAAGTAAGGTTTTCTGCATTTACGTTAGGTGATCTTTGTTTGATCCACAAAATTGGCGCATGAAAATATGAGTTTTTCCTCACCAACTCTAAATGTTTGGTTCCGGGTAGCGGTGCAACAAATCACGTGGTACCGTTCTAGATCAACCTACTGGCTGCTCATAGAGGGGTCCATAAAGGTACATTGATTGATGACTCTGTATGGCCTGAACTGAAAATGATATACGCAGACGTTTTCTGAGCGACGAATGTGCAGCTTTGACACTCCTCTTTCGTCTCGAAAATAGACGAGCACGCGAGCTCTACTGGTCAATAAATCCCCCGCGGCTTTTATTTTCATACGCAAAATCGACGATCTCCAAAGAGAAAATAGATCGACGATCTCTAATGAAAAAGTAGAGGGTCTGTGAACAGGCTACGAAGGTGCTTGCTATTATTTTAGTGAACTTTACAAGAGGTCTCAGGTGATTATGCTAACGTCATGAAAAGTCTACTTTAGGTAAGGAGGAGGAGATGAGTGGGTTGGTTGGCATTGGGTTCTCCATTAGGATCAACCCTACACATACAACAATTCGTGTCTTTATCACTACATTTAGAGCTAGCAGACTTTGTTTGATTCACAAAATTGGCGCATAAAAATAAAAGTTTTTCCTCACCACCGCTAAATGTTTGGTTCCAGGTGGCGGCAACCTCGTCCCCAGGGTTTTTCCCTTAAAAAATGGGTGGGGCGGCATCGGGTGGCATCGGCTGGTCACGCTGTCCCCTCGTACACCCTAAAATCCTGGGTGTAATAAATTAGCGCTATGTGAAAAGCTAAAATTACGCGTAACCTCACAGCGCGCGATCTTGGGCGGCCTTTTATATCTCTTGAGGATTAACGAAAAGTTTTACAAGGTTTCCTTTTTGACACAGATACTGGCTATGGTATTTTTTTGCTTTCCTCCGATTTCTATGAAGGGGACAGCGAGCGGTAACATTTGTAAAACTTCCTTTATGGTGCGATATAAATGACAAACAACCTATCGTACATGCATAAAGTTTGTACTGGAAAAGTTCGTTTTCGCGACTCTTTTGATCTTTTATTTTATTTCTTGCGGAGTGGACCGCCGTACACAACCTAGTTCCATTCACCTTAACTCTCAGCCATATCATCATAGCGATACGCGCTGGTTTAGACTTATCTTGTATGACCTGTATTTTTTAAAAATTCATCTCTGGCACCCAGGGTATCAAACGACTGGTAACAAAGAAAGACTTGGGTCCATTTAAAATTTACATAGTTGTAGTTGATTCCAATCGATCGGTCAATCTTCCCTTTAATATAAGGAAAATCCTTTGTACTTATCCTCGGAAGAGAAGAGAACTTCAAATGTTTCTTCAAATGTTTCAGATCGGCGACCTGTCATCGTTCCTGGCTGGAGGGCTGACTTGCATCCGGCGCGGAGATTTGTTTGTTTCATGGTTGGGTTGTAGAGAAGACCAGACTCCATAAAACATTTTGATGAATTAAGTTCAATTTGTTTAAATTCACTGCAGATCCTAGAGGCAAAGGCCCGCATTTTTGTTTGACATTGGACAAAATCACTTTCCGCTTGATGATCGTACAGTAATTCCACAGTCACGATGAATTTCTGAAGTGCCACTCGATAACAGCTTGTCTCAACTCTGAAGCATTTGACATATTTTGTACGTGACAACGTAGAGCCGGTACGCCCTTTCATAAACTTGTAGCATTTGAATAATACGCAATTAAATGGATCTTAAGCTTTTGAATCGCACAGACGCGAAAATATTGACATACAGTTCGCGATATTATTATTTTCCATTGTTGCTCCGTTCGACTTCTGTCAGCGCAAAACCAGCGGGTTGCATATAAATTAGCTTCTCAGGAATATTTAGGCTGTGCACGTGACCAGCTGATGCCAGGGCCTTTTCCCGCCCCACCCATTTTTTAAGGGAAAAGCCCTGGGGACGAGGTTGGGGTGGCGGAGAACAAATCACGTTGTACCGTTTCAGAACAGCCTGCTGGCCATGCTGGCTGCTCATTTAAAAAGGGGTCTGTAAAGGCACATTAATTGATAACTCTGTGCGGCCTGAAGAAAATTATATACGCAGACGTTTTCTGAGCGACGAAGGTGCTGCCTTTACACTTCTTTTTCTTTTCGAAAATGGCCACGGACTTCTCGCCTCGCTCCTCTCAGCTAGGCGGTGGTTTTTTCTGAGAGATACCACCACGAAGTAGTTTTAGCACACGTCACTTCAGGTGCAGACCTAGGAAAAGGGCATTCTCCATCTGAAATTTTAAATCGAAATGAAAGGCTGTTTTCAGCCTTCAAGATCTCTCTTCTCCGCAACGTATTTGGTTGAAAGATAGTACGTAAAATGGCTGAGGCACTTTAAAGCATTTTTTCATTTACGCGACGGACTTCGACGTTATGAAAAAGAACTTGTCAGTGAATTGGTTTATTTTCTAGCCTGCGAACAAGTGCCGGGGGGATGGTGGCGGATAGAGCCAGGTGACTACTTTTTTTTTTCAGGCGGGAGCTAACAGTACGTGCATTCTGGTCTACCCCATACTGTGTAGACCGGCCTTTAAGGGCCTCTCTTCGGGGGGCGAGGGATCAGTACAATTCGTCAACAGCAGGTTGAGGTCTCGCCAGAAGTTGCCCTTGCTGAAGAGGAGCAAAGCAATACTACTTTCAGTAATTTAAACATGTTAAATACTTGTATTTCGCTCATGAAATGTGTCCATTGTCCATTTGCGATTTGTGGTTTTTCAGGAATGTTCTTTTGCGGAGCATTGGCCAATTTTCTTTAAACAGTTTTACTCGTTTCCATTTCCCTGCTCTACCTTCATGTTGCATATGGCATACGTGTGTACCTAAATCCCTCAATTCATTAAAGA